ATTGATAGTGCTGTATAAAGTGCAGTTCAGCAGTTGTTTACATGTAAATAGACATAAAAATAGAAGTTAGACAACTTACCACTTACTTCTACCTTACTACCAATTTCGTTCCAAATGTCTTTTTTCTTACGGGCATCTTTAAACATGTGATGAGACTTGTCGTAAAGCACAGGATTCTTCTGTACTTCGAGAATTAGCTGTTCTTCATCCATGTTGCGCCATACTCAAGGGGTTATCAGTGGGTAGTATAGGTGAAAGGGGTTAATTATGGATAAAGCAGGAAACGATTAATTGTAAACAAACACGCTGATTGGTCAAAAAATTTATCGTTATCGTCCGACTGAAAAAAAATCGCTCCAGTGAGCGATTTGAAAATCGTTATCGTTATCGTCTAACGATAATTTTATCGTTATCGTTGTAATAATTTAATAAAAATACCGATTTGTAACCTATTAGGTTAAATTACATCAGTAAAAAGTCTCATTATACTACAATAGAATATCTAGATGCATAAAGTTATTCATAACTTCAGTTGAAAAAGTTATAGAGTTCAAATTTAAAAATATTAAAAATATTAAAATTATGGTCTATTCATATGTGAAACCATCTGTGGAAAAAACGATTTCATAAATCTGTCCGTTTTACAACTATAGTTATTATAATCGCTTCCATAACGTGTATTATAGTTATGTTCAAGTTTAGGCGGTAAGAGGTCACCCAATTTGTCTCCATGTGCATTTTTAACAAAAAACGTTCGCATAATAATCGCCGCCGATCTTTCAGTAAGGGTATACCAGTAATACTGCAAGCTTCTCTATAAGTAGCGAATGGCAAGACAATACGCAGAGCCCGCTTCTGGAGTGTTTCGATATCTTCACTTAGGTATTCTGTAATATTGAAGTGCCAAACTTGGCAGGCATATTCGAGTACTGGTCTGATAATGGTGCAGTATACCAAAATTAGAATGCTATTGTCGGCATTTGATCGTTTTAACAACCTTAGCATATAAAGGCGTTTTCCTGCTTTTTTAACAATATGGTTCACATGCTCGTTCCATTTCAAATCATCTTGGATTGAGAGACCAAGAATTCGGGCAGATTTTACCCGTTCAATACCAACGTTATTTATAGTTAACGGTAAAAACTCATGTTTTTCTCTTGCAAAGTCAACTACCATTTCCTTACATTTGCCGATGTTGAGCTTCATATTATTAACTTCACACCAATTATAGATAACATTCACTAGATCTTGTAGTTCACTACTCTCAGTTGATGTAATTCGTTCAGCAAACGTACTGTCATCAACATACTTCCATCTATCGCTCCAATCAATAAGAAGATCATTTATCATAACAAGGAACAAAGCTGGCCCTAACACCGACCCTTGCGGCACTCCACCGTTTAACGTTTGCTAGTCCGAATGACAGTTAGCCAACTTGACTCGTTGTTTACGATCAGAGAGAAAACTTCTAATCCAATTTATAATGGTTTGGGAAACACTCATTTGTTGTAGCTTATTCACCAGTATGTTGTGATCTATTCGATCAAAAGCTTTTTCAAAATCAAGCAAAAATACTCTCACCGCATTGCTTGAAGCATCTGTAGCACTCAGGAGGTGATGGATCAGGCTCAGTAGGGCATGGGTAGCCGAGGAATTTTTAACGGAGCCAAACTGCCGCGTATCAATCTTTGCACCAATTGACTTAAGTAACCAGTCTGTAACAAACCGTTCGCAAATTTTGGATAAAGTGGGGGTAAGTGAGATAGGGCGCAAATCTTTAGAAATGTCTTTAGGGACTGATTTTTTTGGAACAGGGATAACGTTCGCTTTTTTCCACATTGAGGGTACAACTGCTTCTTGAATCGAAGCGTTGAAAATCGATGCCACAGGGGAAGAAAGAACGTATGCATAAGATTTAAGCACCCAATTAGGTATTCCGTCAGGACCAGGTGATTTGGAAACGGGGATGGCGGACAATTTACAGTATACATCTTTTTCTTCGATAATAAACCTTGGAAGGATACTTGTACTGCCATTTTCAATTAGGTCATCAACTGGAGACTTATTCAAGGGAGGAATATCTTGGGTAGATGAGACAAAAACATCATTGATTTTATCTGCTAACTCTTTACCAGCAAAAACCTGGTTGTTTACAACGAAATTAGAGAATATTTTGTTCTTGGCGAAACCCGCAAGCTGTTTTATACATTGCCACCATTTTTTAGCATTGGGGTTTAGTTTTAACTCATCCATCTTTTTCTTAAGGAAGGTTGACTTGAGTCTCTTACTTTCTCTATTGGCAAGATTTCTCAATCTACGATATAACGGACTTTTGCCCTGACGAAACGCTCTTTGTCTATTTTCTATAATTTTCTTAAATCCGACTGTAACCCATGGTTTATCATGATCGTGCAACTTTACAATTTTACTTGGGAAAAAACAGTCCAAACCAGTATTTATAACTGTTTGAAAAAAATCTAACTTTTGTTCACATGATTCAGCGCGGTACAAGTTGTTCCAGTTTATATCAGCTAGCCACTTACCGAATGCTCTCCTGTCATGATTGTTACCTTGTCTAGTTTTTACTTTTGATGTACCATATTTAGCTGTATTTTTATTAAAGGACCACAGTACGGAATTATGGTCACTTTGGCCGACAGGGGGTAATAACACCGGAGAGTTACAACAGGAAGTCATATTTGTCAAAATTAAGTCCAATGTGGAATTTCCTCTTGTGGGTTCTTTAACTATCTGTTTCAAAGTAAAATGACGTAGTAGGGAGGAAATTGGGCATTTATTAAAGTCTCCAATGAGAAAAATACCAGCGTTGGGGTACAATATAAGAGCAGCGTCAAGTTTAGATGTTAGGTGATCGATTAAGGCACAGTTATCATTGGAGGGAGGGTGATAGACCACACAGATAATCAGGCAGGAAAAGCCACGGAAAAGTTTATTTGGTCTCAGGTAAAGCCAAAGTGATTCAAAATTGTCTTAATGCAAATCTGTTAAGATTTTAAAAGGAATTTGGTCTTTAATATAAGCACAAACGCCACCCCCGATTCTAGAAATTCTATCATGCCGAACTAAGGAAAAGCCACTAATTTCAACGGCACCGTCATCAATATTTTCATTTAGCCATGTCTCAGTTATGAAGGCCAACCCAACCTCATTTATATGCAAAATAGTTTTCAGTTCATCAATCTTAGGTAAAAGTGATCGAGAGTTCGCTAGAAAGAAAGTTAATAACTTTCGCGGAAGGCGAAGGGAAACGGAGGTTGGACAGGGATTTCCATTAAGGTTTTCGGGCAATGTTGAAAAAACCGAGCAAACTGGGAGTAACTTTGGGGACTTCGGTTGACACTCATTCCGTGTGTTCTTAAATGTGGGACCATAGGAGGACGATGGTAAGGATGGTAAGAGAAAAAAGGTGGGTTGGGATGGTTATTAACAGGCCGTGATGCCGTTCTGTTATGATTGGTACTGTGGGAAAAATCACACCCGCTACCCTTTAAGCAATAGCCTCGATTTTGCAAAAAGGGACAGGGCACCAAATGTTTTTGTTCACCACGTGGATGTTTAAAATCGCAACGCCTTCCCTTTGCGCACCACCCTCGCAGAATCTTTGCAGACTATCTGTCAGGTTATCATCTCGCTTGATGCTGCCGGGCAATAGATATGTTGCATGTTCTTCTGTTGTTGCATTCTAATGTTGCATTGTTATTTGTTCCAGTGTCTCTCGATGGCCCTGAGAGAGAACCCATCCAAATTTGCTGTCCAATCCCCAACTTACAATCCCCAATTACAATTCTCCAATTCGTTTCTTCAGATGATTGGTTGCGTATGATCTTTGACTACCACGATCTAATAGCACATGACTCGAACCGGAATAGCTCTGTTGCTATGTTGAGAATAAGCGGCATATGTCGTGGCGGTTTGCAAAAACCGACCTTTGATGAGTCGTTGGACGTTTTAGTTGTTGTGAGGTTCGCACGATGCTGAGTAATGATATTGTCCACAATAGACACATTTAATCTTTCGCTCATTTTCCCCATCTTAACGAATAGGCTTGCCGCAGATGAACTACGGCTGTCGATTTGGTTTCCATACTTCGTTTTGCTTGCGAATGTCATTGAAACTAGTTACTATAAACAAAACAGTCCACCACGACTCATTGTAAAATTTTCTATTAAAAATAAACTAAATTTTCGGCTGCATGCCGCAACCCTCGTCAGAATTATGGTCTAAATACAGAATAATACGTCTATTTATACTCACTATAACATGCATATATAACAGGCAATGCATAAATAAATTAATTAATACCTATAATTGTTGAACAAAATCATGGCTACTATTCAAACACCTAAGGTTAGTAAATAAAGTGCCTATCCAAAAATTCTCTCGATTCCTAACATAGTCATGCTGCTGCAGATTAATCAACATAAATTTAAGATTTGAATGGTCCCCACCATGACCATCGATTAAAAGTGATTAGCTATACTACATGTTCTTTTCTTATACTTAATGTGCGACTTGTAATTGACCAACCTGGATTTGAAATTGACAACGTTCTGCGATGTACAGGTCAAGGATTTACAAATTAAAATCTACCTGGGGTGGTGGAACGAAAAGGCACAGCGCGCAGGAATGAGAAAGTTTTTACAGCAATGACATCTCTTTGTTGTACATACAGAACAGCTACCCCCCGTTACCTCCCTGTTTTTATACGGGTTCGAGGGAGCCATATAATTATATAAAATAGTTGGTGGTGGGTTATAAAAACCAATGATAGACTGCTCAATGGATAACCGGAGCATAATAGTAAGACACAAAAACTTAGCAAGCTTTGTTTGGCATATTTATTACTATACAGTTTCGTACCACGTAACTAACGTGGCACTCTTCAAATAAAATAGCCTATGTTTGACCTATAGTTTCTAACGAACGTTTTAAATATGTACAGATGGCAAAGGATGCTTATCTAATTACAGATCAATTCAAACACTCATTAATAATTCATAAGCTTATTGGCAAATCGTGTCAACCATAATATGTCACGTGCAGTGGCTTTAAACCTGATAAAACACCTATAGTATCTATTGTACTCGTGTCCTCATTAGTATTTTTTATATAAAGAATACTAATAAGACAGTATATCTATTGAATTTGTAGTCGTGTTTGAAGCCGTTTAATAAACTCGCAGGTCGTGTTTTAGTAGGTCTAAAGCCACTCGCGCTGCGCGCTCGTGACTTTAAACCTAATAAAACACTCCTGCTCGTTTGTTAAACAGTACTTAACACCTCACGTAGCAATCTCGTTCCCAGAGTATGCCTGTTCGCGGGTTAGGTTGTGGCATGACTCTGGGGAAATCGAATTTTTTTTATCCAAAATGAGATAAATGGCGCATGCGCTTTTATTGCTTTTGTTCATTCCGCTTACTAAATTCGCGCGGGCACACGCTCACAATCGATATTGTTTTAAACAAAGATTCTCATCAGAATATAGTGTAAAAAAAGGTTTTTTATACGTTTAAAGGTGCTTTAAATCGTACTACTATTAAATTATATTCAATGGCAAATACTGAAAGAGCTATGAAAGCTGTTCTAGCGAAAAGAGGGCTTGAATATTCGTTAAAAGACGAGACATTCAAAATTTTATGTATCTCGGCCATTGTAAAAGGATGAAGATGTTTTGGTTGTTTTGCCAACAGGATATGGGCATATTATGGCAAATATTAAAATATTTCAGCTGCTACCAGACGTGTACGACATGTTACTTGGCGTAACTAATTCTATCGTGATAGTCATATCTCCACATGAATGACCAAGGCATTTCTGCATGCATGATAGTATGTCAAAGTATGATACGTACAAGGCTATTCTGTGCTAAAACTGTCTGTACCAGTGTAGGTAGTACCAATGTAGAAATGTTGTGCTGAGTGGTTATATTACTACCTTAAAAAATAAGCAGAAACTCAACGTTTCGAGCGAAGGCCCTTCGTCAAGAGTTAGTAGCATTCTGTGCTACACTATATATGGTGATGGCAGCGATGTCAAATGACCATTGGATCGACATGAGAACCTGACGTTTAAGCTGTTCTACAGGGTGTATCAAAATAAACGCAATTCATCTTTTGTGCATAATAACTTTCGAAATACTATTTCTAAATAAACGCTTTTAGGCTTACTTCAAAGCCTGTTCTTTTCTCTTTCAAACAAACTATTATCTTTGTCTCCAATGCTAGTAATAATTGCACAGGAAAAGATTTAGTAAAACCTATCATTTTTAGTTCCTGTTTAATTATGCAAGTTTACTATATGTTATTGTTCAGTCGGTTTAAATGTTAGAATTTTCTTCTTTAAACTTTAATGTTGTCGTCACTACATCTGGAAAACCACGTAAGAACAAATTAAAAGTATTTTAAAAGAGACCAGGTTGTTTGAAAATCCTAAACGAATGCTAAAAATCGTCAAAACATTCTGGTGTCTGAGCCAGAGTGTCATCGAATTGCGATGTAATGTAAACAGAAATTATAGCAAGTTGATGTCAGTCAGCTTAGATGGTCCAAGCCAAAATTATATCGCATTTGAAGTTTCAAACTGAGTTAAAAATAGTGGAAGAAAAGCCGTAATTATACTTATTGTTATAATCCATTTAATAAAATGCAACATTTTTTTGTTTTAATGAAAAAATCAGTTATTTTCATGAGAACGATTTGTTATTCCATCTCGATTTTTTTAATCTCCAATCGCAATAACGTAAAGTATTATTACCCGCGAACCAATGAGTCAAATTTAAGAAACAACCCACTGTTAGAAAGCTGAATGGCTACGCTTTAAAATGAATGTAAACTTTAAAGTTTTCGTCTATTATTTGTTTAGCAATTTACATTTTAGTCGAGGATTGCGCTTTTTTTGATACACCCTGTATATGCACCCAGAAATGTGTGTCTATGACAAGAAAATACAAGCTTTTTTCAACTGTAAACCTCTGAATATAATGCTCACCTCATTCCAAATATAACCCCCCCCCCCAAATATAAGCCCCCCCCTGAATATAAGCCCCCTGAATATAAGCCCGGTATCCCACTATGTTATTTAACATTGACATTGTCTTTAAATATAGCAGAGAACGATATTTGAAACACTGTCATTGTCTTTATAGCTTACTATGTTAATGGGAAGTGTGTTATTAATACATGTTTATTTTCCGGTTTATGAGTGACTGACTTGTTTATTACTAACACAATTGATTGTCCATGTATAAGGCCCCCATGCATATAAGCCCCCCCCCTCCCCCAAGCCCATGAAAAATCGCTTCAAAACAATGTAAGCCCAGGGCTTATAGTCCGAGGTTTACGGTATTATATATCATATTTTAACAATAAACACATTATTTTTTATATTATATTACAACCACATATAAAGTCTTCAAATGACAGTACATTGTGTTTGTAATTATAATTACTATAATTACTTGTGTCAAAAGTAAGAAATGAAGTGAACAAATCCATATATATTTGTTGAAAAATTCTTGCAGTGGGTATCTTCCTTTTGCTTTTCATGCTTCACACTGTGTATCTTTGAACATTTAATCAGCAACTAATTATAGGCAAGAATATATTCACTAGCTCATTTCTCCATATTACCAGGTACATAACATGCAATATATCAACCTTGCAATCCATGCTTTAACCCATGCAGTTGCCCCCTCTCCTGGAGCTTGTTTGGGAAGGGAGAGGAAGGAATGGAGATACTGTAATTTCTATATTCAGCTCTTTTCTCTTCAAGCTCCTCCAATAACCCCCCCCCCCCCATTTGGATACAAGAATCAAAAATAAATAAGCCCCCCCCCCCCATTTGGATAGAAAAATAAAAAATAAAGAAGCCCCCCTCGGCTGGCCCCTCCTCTTTTAACCATGCAGCCCTCAATTAATTCTTAAAATCATGATATATATTGCATTTCTGCAGTATTTTAATAAAATTTAGTACAATTGTAACTCTGAATATGGACATTTTTTAATGGTAACCAGACCTTTTGCATATATTAAGAACAAGTGCCCCCTCAATGATGCTTAGGAAACAATAATACCCAGGAGGCTTGATACAGAAATTAAAGTAGTTATTTGATTGAAACTGGTTAACTGGTAGCTATTTCAATTCTACTGTATCTCCTTTTATATAGAATTGAATTAATTGCCAATATATTCACATAGTATAATAGTTTGGAAATGGAATCAATACTTGTATATTTTTAGCAAATGAGCATTGTTATTGATCAAACAACATTGTTTCACATAGCAACAAACAAGGAAACATCTGTATTTAAATTCACTACTTATTTTTTATCCAGACACAAATTGATGCAAAAATTGTTTCAGGTTTGGCTTAGTTATAGCCTTACATCGGGGCTCGGGCTATTCCATTTAATATCCGTACCCCTCTGTCGAGGATCCCTGGAATTCTTCAGGGGTAAAGGGTTTTGAGCTTGGAATTTTGGAATTCTTCAGGGGTAAAAGGTTTTGAGTTTGAAATTCTTCAGGGGTATAACCATGAAAAACATGTATCCTCGACAGGGGGTGTACGGATATTAAAAGGAATAGCCCATCATGCTGTCAAGTGGCAATCACTTACAAAGCAAGTCTATAACCAAATGTTTTACAACCTGAGGAACTTCTTAAACAATTATTCTATAATTTATATAGATGCTACAAAAACACCTGGCATCTTAAATTTATATAGATAACTCCATTTACAAAAGCACAAAGACCACAGGCTACAACATGTTGAGTGTTGACCATAATGTACTATATTGTTTAAAGCTTCAAGTTTTTAACACAAGCAAAAGCTGTCACTCCAAAGTCCTGGCAACAATTTGTCAAAACAACGTGTGCGATGATTTCATTTAGCCAATTCTTCCATGGTTATAATAAATATACTCATACTGTAGATCGATAAAAAGTCATTCATAAATACCATGCCATTTTGTAAGTATATACCCAACGTCCCAATACATTTTCATACGATTAATATAATATATCCTTCGATTTATATTGTTTGATTTCGCATTCCAAATCTGATAAACATTGATAATTCTCTCTTCGCGTATGTCCACGGTAATTCTCGTAAAAAACACGCATTAATTGTGTCGGCAGCATTGATGATCACGGCAGCCAATCAAATAACGATTTCGATTTGATTTCCCCAGAGTCATGCCACAACCTAACCCGCGAACAGGCATACTCTGGGAACGAGATTGCTCACGTAGTGTCACGAATATATTAAATAGTATCAAGTTATAATTTTTTTAAGCAGAAATTTATTAGCGTGTCTAACAAGACAACTTCGTTTCGACGATTAAGTGTTGCAATGTCCGGTTTACAAATAATAAAATACTTCTCCCAGATACACAAGTTACATCTCTTGGATGCATTACTGTAAAATTTAAATGGCATTTTAAAATGGAAAATTTTATAATAAATATAAATTATATATATATATATATATATATATATATATATATATATATATATATATATATATATATATATATATATATATATATATATATATATATATATATATATATATATATATATATATATATGAATATATATATATATATATATATATATATATATATATATATATATATATATATATATATATATATATATATATATATATATATATATATATATATATATATATATATATATATATATATATTGAAATATACTTTTATTGAGCTTTTCGACATTCCAATGACGCCATCCCTAGCAGCGGAATTTATTCAACCATGACAACGCTTTCTTCAACCAGCAATGAGATCAGCCAATTAGACTGTCTCAACGTATACAGGAACGTAGCAACACCACAAAACCTTAATTAAGTAATGTACATATGTAATTTTAATCTCAGTATTCTGAAGAAGGCTCGAAGTACCGAGTCGAAAGCTCAATAAAAGTATATTTCAATCCGGAGAACTTTAATTAATTATATATATATATATATATATATATATATATATATATATATATATATATATATATATATATATATATATATATATATATATATATATACGCACGTAGATGTGTGTTAGTTGTGTAATTGTACACTCTGTAATATGTTAAGATGAAAATGTTCTAGAGTGTGTATTATATAATTTCCATACCCAGCGCAAGCAGAAAGATGTTGTCTGCCGCGGCTGGGTCTCGAACCTCTATATATATATATATATATATATATATATATATATATATATATATATATATATATATATATATATATATATATATATATATATATATATATATATATATATTCATCAAGTAACACATTCGGGGATGTCATTAATTAATTAATTTGTAGTAGGCTATATTTTAGATTTTTCGTTTTCATACTTCGTTTAAGGATTATCGTATAATTATATCTGCATGGATTTTTCGGACTTTTACGCATTTTGCATGTTCAGACTTTATTGAAGTGTACGAGACTGCAGATAGAAAACCAAGAGATGGCTACGAATGAAGAACTGCAGTTTCTATACTCAGATTATCTGTGTACCTCATTCTGAGGAAGGCCGTGACAAGCGGCCGAAAATATTTAATGTTAGTAAAAGATTAGTAAAATAAAAACTGCAGTTCTTCATTCGTAGCCATCTCTTGGTTTTCTATAGTATGGTTTGTTGGCTTTTTTTTATTTTTTGAATTGAATTTTATTTGCCCATATGAAAAAGTTAATATTTACAATCTAAAGTATACAATAAAATATGACGGGCTAGGAGCCTTCATGAAACCCTTTCAGGCTTTTTGTTCAAAGGTCCCTAGTTCTATAATATTTTTACAATTGTTTTATATGGTAAGTTAATCATATAATGTCGAAAGAATATAGGAATATTTACAAATACAAGTATAAAGTAAGGAAAATTTTAAAGTAAAAGTGATATAATGAGTTTACAGATAATAACAATTAAAGTTTACAGATAATAACAATTAAAGTATATTTTACAAGAAAAATAATTTTGACTTTTTCTTAAAAGTACAATAAAATATAATACTGCTAATTTCATTATCGAGTGAATTCCATATCTTAACTCCCTTGTTAACAATAGAATGTTTTGCATAATTTGTTCTACTAAAATTTACATGAAATTTGTTAGCATTTCGAGTATTGTAATGATGCACTTCATTGTTCTGTGCGAAGTAGCCATTAAAATATTCAGGTAAGTTTTGTAGACGTTTAAACCGGTACATAAATAAACAACTTAAATAGTCATTGATCTTAAAGATATTCAAGATCTTTAAGTTCTGAAACAATGGCTCAGTGTGTTCAAGATACGATTTAAAACTTATCAATCTGATAATTTTTTTCTGTATATTCTGTATTTTCTGTAGCCTTGTTGGGTACGTATTACCCCATACTAGATTCCCATAAGTAAGATATGGATAAACCAATGCATAATAGATCAACTTAAGTGTATTTTTATTTGTGTAATGTCGTAGTTTTGCTATATAAGTGACGCAGATTTAATTATATGTTTAGCAACCGAATTTATATGGTTTTTCCATGTTAATTCACGATCTAAAATTACACCTAAGAATTTGATATGAGAAGCCTGTTGTATAATGTTATATTTAAGTTTAATATCGATTTCAATGTCGCATTTTTTATTTCTTGATTTAAAAATTATATACTTAGTTTTTGTTGTATATTTATAGATAATTTATTCACGTTTAGCCATTTAATTACTTCATTCATTTCTTCTTGCATAACATGTGTTAATGATTTTAAGCATTTGTCAGAGTGAAATGCATTAAGGCCGATTTACACGACCAGTGTTTTGGGCACGGCACCCCTAAAAATGAGCACCCGTGCCCAAAATTTTAGGCACGGCACCTCTGCCTTTTGGCGTGTAAAGCCCCGTTTAC